GCGTCTCCTACCTGGCCCAGCTTTGTAGAAATGTGCATTGCTGAAATCACAGACTTACCTGCCCACGACTCCCCGCTCATTTTTCTTCCTAGACCTTCCCCTACATTCTCTGCATAGGTTAGCCATGCACCGTAGACCTAAAGTTCCAGGAAGAAGGCCTGACAGTTCTGCCCAGCAGGCCTCCTCCCTGTCCTTCCATGCTTCACCCTGTCCCCAGCTTTGGGGTGTTCAGCTGGATTGCCATCTTCTCTCTGCACAGGCAAGGCGATGGCAGTGTCACGTCTTGGTTATTTTGAGGATTCCCCATTGGCCTGTGGACTGAAGGGTCGAGGGTTCAGTTCCGGTCAAGGGCACGTACTTGGTTTCAGACTCGATCCCCAGCCCCAGTCGGGGTGCGGGCGGGAAGCAACCAATTGATGTGTTTCTCTCACATTGATGTTTCTCTCTCTGTCTCAATGCCCCCTCCCCCCGCTTCCATTCTCTCTAAAAAAATCAATGGAAAAATATCCTCAGGTGAGAATTAACAACAATAATTAAAGAGATGATTTAAAACAAAGGGTAGGAAAATATTGATGCACTTTTTGAACCAGCTTTGCAAATAGATTCTTGACTATGTGTAGATCCCGGTTCCTAACCCCAGTCTTCTCTAGAGCTGCCTTCCTCAGAAGCAGACTGACAGCTGTCTCGTACAGCACAGGTGCACTTGAGGAACAAAATGTGTTCTGAAGATGGTGCGTTTCCAAACCACCTTGGAGTCCTATTGAGCTGGATGGGGATTCTTCCTTCGACAAGTCCTGCTGTGGCAGAAAAGGGAGAGACCCCGGTGCCTGTGAGCTGTGAGCCAGAGGCAGCATTCCTGGACATGACAGAGATCTTTCTAGAACCACAGGGGACAGTGTCCCCGGACAGGCACATGTTGCTTAGAGTGTCTGACAGAGGGTTTAGACAGCTTTGATACGCTGCCGCGGAGGGCAGGACAGTCTGAAGCAGCCCAGGAAGTGGGTTTCAGGGGAGAGAGGACCCGAGAGAGACCAAGGCCAGGACCTGGGTCCCGCCCAGAGGCTGCCGTGTGCCCTGGGCGGAACTGATGCACCTCTGTGTCCCCGTTGCTTCTCTAGCAAATGAGGGGGTGCATGTCAGGGTTTCAGAGGCTCGGCCCCATCCCCTCCCCTTTCTTTTTGTTAAACAAGGTATAACCTACATAGAGAGGAAAACGCACAAATCTCAGGTGTACAGATTGCTGAATTTTTGAATTTTCAAGTTTTGAATTTTTGTGCATACCCGTGAAACCACCACCCAGGTCTAGACCTGGAACATTTCCAGCCCCCGGGGGGCCCCTCCTTGCCCACTCAGTCAGCTCCAGAGCTTTAGGGTTAATGTTCTTCCAGGCTCTTCTGTTCTGTCGAGACCTGCACTGTCACCGGCCACCTGTGGCTGCTGAGCACTTGAGAGTTGGCTTGTCGCCATGGGCCGCACGTGTCCAGTACCACCGGCCTTGTGAGACAGCGTGGGGGAGAGAATGTAGCCCACCTGGTTACTGCCTTTGTACATGGAGCACATGTTAACATAGCAACACTGTCAATATACAGGGTTAGCTAAAACGCTAGTGCAGTAATGCCATCTATTTCTCTCTCGCTTTTCTCAAAGGGGCCACTGGAAAATTTGAAATTCCCTCTGTGTTAGTGTTGTCCCAGGACCTGACAGTCCCCTTCCTAGTAGGGAACTGCCTCCCGGAGCAGGGCCTCCGCATCTGCCCCAGCAGCCATTTGGTGGCCCTGGGAGAGTGCCGGGGACAGGGACACAGGGTGAGGTGTGAGGGCGGTAGGGGGTGGCCGTGCTCTAAGCAGATGTGTCCTTGTGGTTTTCCACGTGGTTAAGTCCTTGCTGGCTCCTTCCGGTCTCGGCCTTGCCTCCAGGTCGGGGTCTGGCTGCCCACAGCGCCCACTGTGCTCATTTTAAAGCCCGCAGTGAAGCCCACGCCTGGGCTGCCGGGTCTCCCTTGCCAAGTCCGAGTGCGCGTTCTGCTGGAATTGGAGCGGGGAGAGGGTCTTTTTGAGTTGGGTTTAGGTCGACTCAGACCTTTCAGGGACTTTTTCCAGAGTCCACATCCTGAAGGGAAGAACCGTCTCCCCTTTGAGGTCTCTGGGGGTGCGTGAGCATCTGTGTGTATTGGGGGGAGGCCTGTGAGGCCTACGGGGACCACCTCCTGCCTGCCCTTCGGGTGCTAGTCCCCATAGTGGGGGTGCATGAGATTGCTTTTCTATGCACTTTTGTTTGATAAAATAAGTTTTTGCTAATCTTTTGATTTTAAACACATCACTGATATGTAGCATAGAGTTTGGGGTGGCTTTTTTTTGTAGCTTGAGACAGCCTTTGTTACTGGGTAATTTTGTTCATTTACATTTATTGTTATGTTTTTATTAGATTCTGTTATCCTGTTTTGTTCCTTATTTTGGCCATAATTTGATTTCCCATATACTTGTGGCTTTAGGTTGGGCTGTGTTCTCTGTAGATTTCTTAGCCCTTATCAAACAAACTTCTTTTGAACCTGAATCTTGTAATGGCTAACAGACATAAGCAGGAGTGTTGGCGTTGCTTTAGATTGCCATATATAGCTATCACCGAGCTGCCAGACTTTGAACTTCCTTCTACAGGCACCGTGAGCTGCTGGCTTCCTTCTCCTGGGTCTGCCCTCTGCCCCTCCCCCACACCGCTGGGGCTCAGGGTTGAGAAACACATTCATTCTCAGTTCCCCTTTCTGGCTCCTACATCCAGCTCATGTGTTCACTCATACTGATGACATACCCAGACCCCGAGCAGCACAGTAGGGAATAGAGAGGATATTTAGTCATCCTGGAATGGTTACACAATCTCTCCAAGCCCAACTTGCTGGTCTCATCATAAGTGAGAAAATGTGTGAGGCAGTGCCTGGCACATACTAGTTGCTTGATAAATATTAACCTCCCCCTTCTCCCTCCCTGTTCATATTCTTAGTGGCTTGACCTGGCAAACAGTTTGTGTTTATACTGTAAAACTTGACCTTGAGTGCTCGCCTAGTTTAGCCATTCTTCTTGGAGGTGTGGTGACTTATTTTTGCATTCGTGTATTCTTTTAATTGAAGTAAAATTAATCACTTTAAAACATATAATTCAGTGGCATTTAGTACATTCACAGTGTTGTGCAACCACCACCTCTATCTGCTCCCAAAACATTTTCATCGTCTCCCCCACCCCTCCAAAACCTCAGACCCATTAGCAGTCACTCCCTATTCCCTGTCCAGCCCCTGGCAGCCACTCATCCACTTTTTGTCTCTGGATTTGCCTTTTATGGACATTTTATATAAATGGAATTCTATAACATGTGGTCTTTCATGTCTGGCTTCTTTCATTTAGCATATGGTTTTGAAGTTCACTTACGTTGTAGGATGGACCAGTACTTCGGTCCTTTCTTTGGCTGAATGATAATATTCCATTGTGTGGATAGGTCATGTTTTGCTTATCCATTCATCTGTTGATGGACATTTGAATTGCTTCCACTTTCTGGCTGTTTTGAATAATGCTCTAGGAATATTCATGTCTAAGTGTTTGTGTGGACATATGCTTTCATTTTTCTTGGGTAGATCTCCAGGAGTGGAATTGTTGGATCATATTAAAGGGTTTTAAGAATTAAGTTTGCCGCCCTAGCCGGGTTGGCTCAGTGGATAGAGCATCAGCCTGTGGACTGAAGGGTCCCAGGTTCGATTCCGGTCAAGGGCATGTGCCTTGGTTGTGGGCTCTATCCCCAGTAGGGGGCATGCAGGAGGCAGCTGATCAATGATTCTCTCTCATTGATGTTTCTATCTCTCTCTCTCTCTCCTTCTCCCTTCCTCTCTGAGATAAATACTAGTAAAATTATATATTTTAAATTTTTTTTTTAAAAAGAATTAAGTTTGCCAGTGTGTGGCAGCATCTGGTACACATAGGTGCATAATAAATGGTGGTCATTGTTTACGTTATTTCCTTGTGGAATTTTTTTTTTGTGGTTGACCTTTTGACCTTCAGACTTGTTATTTATATTTAGGTAAAATTTTCTGTGTCTGTCACCATCCTGAGATTGTTTTGTTTATTGAAGTCTTATGATCCACATAGTAAAATAACTATTGATTCCTCCTGGCTCAGAGTAATCTGATAAGCCAGGTCACCTGCTTCACTCATTCATGCCACTAGTATTTACAGAGTACCTCATGTGTGCTAGGCCTGTGGGTTTTGGTGGTCGAAACTTGTGCACCCTAAGAGGGCACAGTGACCTGCATGTAGCTTATCACTATAGCCCATCACATGGCATGGTGTTCATTAAATGAATGCAGTAACATACTTTGTGCGTTCAGTGCCTGGGCTGATCACACAGACCTGGGACCAGACGCCCTGCACCGTTGTGACCAGGGACGCCTGAAGCTAGCTTATACCAGCTCATGAGAGCCAATCATGTGTCTCTTCCCAGCTCCATGTACAGTGATGTCACGTTGGTAGCTTGAAATCAACCACCGTGGGAATATTTACACCATGGAAATGGGCAAAAGCTACAAATCAGCCCTTCCCTTCTCTCCTAGTATTAAACATTTACCAGCACAACAGCCTGCCTTTCCAGCCTCATCTCCTATTATTCTCTTGGGCTGATCACTCAGCCCAGGAGGTCTGAGCAGTGATTTTTCACAGATGAGGCAACTGAGGCACAGAGTGTTGAAGGAACTTGTCCAAGGTAAAGAGCCAGAAAATGACGGAGCCAGAATTCAAACCCACATCTGACCTGGGCCCATCTCCATGGTCTTGGGACTGCACAGTAACTTGACTTTACCCATTTTCTTATCTCTAGTCATGTGTGTGGTTTATTTTCTGCCAAACCATTTATTTTTATCATTTCTTAGTATTTTAGGTGCAAAGACTTCCTGGTGTATTGCCTGAGCAATGCTTAGTAGTAGATCTTGACCCTTCTTACAGGGAACTCTTATTTTGTTCTTGCAGAATTTCGCTAAAGAGTTTGTGATCAGTGATCGGAAGGAGCTGGAGGAAGATTTCATCAAGAGCGAGCTCAAGAAGGCCGGGGGAGCCAATTATGACGCCCAGACGGAGTAATCCAGCCCTCCCCCTGCCCCTTGCCAAAGTCATTTGCCTGCTCTCCAGGGGAGGGGACCGTGGCCTCTGCTACCAGCCCACCAGCCCACCAGGGAGAGGAGACGCAATGAGAGGCAACACCCGCCACCCTGTCTGCAACCCACTCCCCTTCCCTGCTTCCCTCATGAGTCCTGCTATGTCCTCTCTCGCAAAGCTCATGGAACATCTTTCTTTTCTCTTCTTTTCTCTCATCCCTCTCTTTCTTGTTCTGAAGAAAATCATTGTGATGCCAAGATCATGCACATCATCAGATCTGAGGCACCTCCTGTGGTGACCCCTTTCTCTTAGCCTGCCTGGCCTCCTCCGCCACCACCTCATGTTGCTTCTGGGCCAGTGCTGCCACCCCGGTTTTCCTTGGCTGGCCCGCCTGCTTCCCGCTGAGGAGGCAGCTGTGCCCGAGCCACATCATCCACGCGGCCTTCATCAGCACACGCACCCACCCACGTGTCAGGCTCAGACCTCAGTGTGCTCCCGGGCCCGCCCCCACCTCATTCAGAGTTGCCTAAGCCACAGAGATGGGGCTTGGCGGTGCAAAGCCCAGGCCTGACTCAGACCGAAGGAGAAGGGAGGAGATTTGCCTTAAACGTTGCCTGGCATTAGCTTTGCCACAGGGTCTGCCCCCACCCTTTTGGCTGAAGTCTCACTGTGGCAGGGGGTGGGGGCAGAGGTCTGAGCCCAGAGTAGACAGGAGTCTTTCAGGGTTAACTTCAGAGGCTCCCAAAGCGACCAGGACGTTAGGGAGAGAGGCCCGGGGTGCGGAACAGGAACTTCTGCAGAACTGGAACCGATTCTTCACTTTCAGGAAGGTCCTCTGCCGACAGCAGGGACAGCGCGGGCCGGGCGGCCTCTCTGCCACCTCGGCTGTGTGCGCAGCGGCCCGGCCCCGGGGGACCAGAACACCTGTGGTTTTAATCCCAAGCCTGCACCACACGTTCGAAGGATGATGTTTTTGTGTTTTTTTTTTTTTCAGAGAAAGATGAGATTGGGTTGGTTCTTCATGAGCACATTTTATATTGTTCTTTTTCTTTTTCTCTGCTCCTTTCATTTGGGGGGAGGAAGTCTGTGCTGTGTTGGGGTTGTGAAGAAAATCTGCACTCAAACAGTTTACAGAAATAAATGTTGTTTTTTGTTTTTTCAAAAAAACCAATTTGTCTGATTTTCTTATAAAGTGTCTTTCTATCAAAGGAGGCCATTGTCATCTTCAGGTTTAATAGGCATTTATGGAACTACTGAGGGCGAGACACATTCACATTGAAAATCTTATTTAATTTTTAACAAACAACTTAAGAGACTAAGTGATTCCCCGGAGGCCACCCAGCTAGAAAGAGGCAGAGCTGGGGTTTGAATCTAGGTCTCCTGGTGCCTGTGCTGAAGCTCGTGGGGGCGTGGGGAGGCCCTGGGATTGAGATGGTGGGACAGCAGGATGTGGGTATTTCCCGAGTGGCCAGATGTCCCCCCTCTTTTCGGGGAAAGCTGAGAGACTACACCCTCTTTAGCTTGGCTGTGACATCCTTTCTGAGGTTGTCCTAGAGCTTGAAACCTGGACTTCCAGCACGCCAGACCCGGCGGGATCTCAGAATCAGGCCGGAGGAGTTTCAGACTCAGACAACTGGGTTTGGAGGAGCTGAGTGTGGGGTGGGGTGGGGAGGGTGCGGGGAAAGGGCAGAAACCAAAGTCAGAGTGAGAAGGAGTCCTGCCAGGTGTTGGTGAGGCCACGATCAAGCTGCCCTAGAGCAGCGCAGAGCTGAAGGCCGACCCGTGGCCCATGCTCCTAGGGCAGTGATGGAGAACCTTTTGAGCTCGGCATGTCAGCATTTTGAAAAATCCTAACTTAACTCTGGTGCCGTGTCACTTATAGAAATTTTTTGATATTTGTAACCATAGTAAAACAAAGACTTATATTTTTGATATTTATTTTATATATTTAAATGCCATTTAACAAAGAAAAATCAACCAAAATAATGAGTTCGCGTGTCACCTCTGACACGCGTGTGATAGGTTTGCCATCACTGTGCTAGCGCCTGCTCCTCTGCTCACAGCTGTGTGGCTTTAGGAAAGTTAGCTAACCTCTCTGGGCCTCAGTTTCCTCACCTGCAAAATCAGCAACAATGTTACCTGCTGGGATAGGTGGGAAGGCTTAAGGAGCAGCATGGTTTGGGGGTGCCCGTGGGGGCTCAGTGTTACCTCATGCCTGCCCTGGTTTTCCCTACACCCAGAACAGTGGGAGCCAAACTGGGTCTCTGGCTTCCTGGCCTATGGGCTTTTAGCTTCAGTCAGAGAACTTGGGGCAATTACAGATGAGGAGGAGTCGTCCCATCGCCCCCCT